GGGAAAGATCTCCAGTCCTGAAAGCAATCCGCAGCACCTGGAAATGTCTCCTGGACTGGTGCATCACTTCACTGGGTTTAGTTTGCAAGGGCTAATGGATGTTCTAGGTCAGGGCATACACCTGCTCTTTCTTGCAAATGGTTCTTTGAATGCCTGGCTTGTTTGGCTTCTGTAGTAACATTTACCAACAAACAGGTCCTGTTCATTCACCAAAGATGTGACTCCTAGCAAACGCTTTGGTCATGTGTATTTTTAATAAAGTTTGTAGAGTTATATGCAAATACCAGCTCAGGCTTATGTCAGTATCTTTGCGGCAGAACATGCCAGGAGGTCTCAACTCCCACTGAATCAATGGATTTAACAACGTTGGACTCGTCCCAAACTTCAGTGACCGCATTCCCCCTGATGAAAAGTCTCAGTTTAATACAAAGGGTAGAAACAGCTCATTTTATCTCTCTATGCCTTGACTAGCTCTGAAACTTTGAGGATGACATTTGTGCTGCCTGAGCTACAAATAAGCAGTCTGGGACTTGAGTTTTTTCCTGGTCCTGCATAGGGTAAGTAGGGCTCGGTAGGGTTTCAGGGCTCTGATCTCACTGCAGAATCAAGGCTTAGGAACAGGCATGAATGACACTACTTTCTCAGGAGAAACCAGAGGAGGATGTTAGTTATATTTGTTTTCTGTTTTTTTCTTCCCTAAAACAGTTTGAGAAAGACATAGATTGACAGTGGTTAAGATCTATGGGGGCTGTGGGGTAAGTGAAGGTTTAGGGTGAAATTTAAGCAACATCATGAAGTTGGGGGTGAAGGAAGGGAGTGTGTCTTCTCCATATTGTCGCAAATAGTAGTTCCTCCACAGAGGAATAATTTGAGTCTGTATTGGCCTCGCTGCATGAGAAGTTTCAAGAAAAACTTACTATGAGTTAATTTAAAATTCATCCTTTCTGTTACATTTCCCAATTCCCTTGCTTGCAGAATTAAATATGGGAAGAAAGGTTAGTACAATGGAAGATGGTAACATGGGCTTTCCACACTATTAACCAACAGCCTGTATGAGTCTACAGGATGGCTCCAGAGAGTACATTAATGGAAAGGTAAAACAAAACAAAGCAAAAATTATAGTACCTTGACCTTTTGCTGTATCTGTGCGTGCAACAAATTTTCTGTGCACTTTTCCAAACTCTAATGTGAGATGTGTCACAAGTCAATTGTATCATTTTATACTATGACTATTAGATATTCCAGAAGGAAGTACTATATTGATTGCTGACTATTTGAGTTGTAGTCTCAGATAAAGTAAGTTACTACTTGTTTACAGATTCCAGTTCTTTGAGGCTTGGTCTCCTATAAACTGAGACAAAATTCTTGTGTGTTGCAAAAAAGCTTAGTGCAGACTGCAGATTCCCCTTGTTGATCAGACAGTTCTTATTCAGCCCAGGTCTTGCTTCTGCATGGGTATGGAAAAGTAGCCATATAAGGGTATTTTAATGTTGCTAACAACTGTGGAAATTTTGCTAAAACTTCTGAAGTTATAGAAGTATTATGAATGCCACTATCAGATTATCTTAAATAGAGCCATTATGCAACTGGAAACACTAGAAAGCCATGATAGCACTAGTATGCCTGTATTGCAAGAACAGGGCTTGATCCTGTAAGTGAGAAGCACCTGAGATTTACCTGGGGATACCAGAGCTGAAGATACCTCTGCTGAGTTATAGTGGCTCCTTCAGTAGACTTTTCATGGAGCTCAGAGACGTGGGCATCCTCCTGCTCTTCCCTCACAGGTCTGCCCCAAGGCGCCTCCAGGCCATACACTGTGCTGCTTCGGGTGCTGAGCCATGCTGGTCACATAGACACTGTGTGCAACCTCAAGCCATTCCTCTGGCTTTAGTTACAGACTGTGGTGTGAATGTTTGGTGGGTTTGATGGTAGCAATGAGGCACCCTTAGAAGATGGCATAGACCTACCCGGTAAATAACTTCTAATGTAGTAACAGTCCTATTACCTGTCCTAACCCTGCTTCTCCTCCTGCTCTTCCCCATGAGGGCCATTTGCATTCCAAGCAGTGAGAGGAGAGACACAGGACATGTTGTTTCAGTTATTTAGGATCCTCCAGAATGAAAATCCAGCCAGAAATACAAGCTTTTGTTATTGTAGTTCAATACTGCTACTGCAATTATGGCCATTGCAAAGTGCAAATGCAGAGCACTTCTGAAGATCAGGCTTCTCACTGTGGGAGTCCAGAATTGAAAACTTGATTCCTAACATGTATCCTCCTGTGTTCTGGCTTCCCCATCACTGTAATACCAATGGCAGCTGTAATAGTAAATACTTTGAGACCTTTGTGTTGCTGATGTCAGGCCGTATTCCTAATGAATGAAAGACCACATCCAAATATCGTTCTCCCTTTGCTTTCAGGCTGTAGCAAAGCTGGTATCAGTGGACTGCCGTTGTCACGGTGTTTCTGGATCCTGTGCTGTGAAAACTTGTTGGAAAACTATGTCCTCCTTTGAAAAGATTGGTCGGTTTTTAAAGGATAAGTATGAACACAGCATACAAGTATCAGACAGACTGAAAAAAAAGCTACGCAGAAAAGAGAAAAGGCAGCGAAAAATACCGATCGGGAAAGAAGACCTGCTGTATGTGAACAAATCGCCCAATTACTGTGTCGAAGACCAAAAATTGGGGATCCCTGGGACTCAGGGAAGGGAATGTAACCGCACCTCGGAGGGACCCGCTGGCTGCAATCTCCTCTGCTGCGGGCGTGGGTACAACACTCATGTTGTCAGGCACGTGGAAAGGTGTGAATGCAAGTTCATCTGGTGCTGCTACGTGCGCTGCCGGAGATGCGAGACCATGACTGACGTGCACACCTGCAAATAAGATTAAGTACAGAAAACGTGGCCAAACTGTCCTGCACTGCTTGGCACACACAACTGCAGCACAGACAGCAATAGCTCTCACTGTGTGGGATTGCAGGAGGATCAGCCTCAGAAGGCATGGGTAACTAAAATAAAGGACTCCTCATGACACATTTGAATATGTGACTCCATGATCAGGGACAGACACTAAACTTTCTGGGCCTTCAATAGCCACAACATCCTGACGATCCATGTGATTGGTAGGTACAGTGGAATAAACTCAAGATCTCATTAGCTAGAAACTGAAGAGTTAAGAGAGCATGTAAGACATGTTAGATATAATCTTATGTCTGTATTTTTAAAGCTGGGACTAGATGGATCCACTAGAGTGTTGATTTCTGCAGGCTTTAGTTAAAGAAAACAAAACCAAACAAAGACAGGGAAAATGTTCTGCTGTTGACCATGAAGCATTTGATTTGCAACCATTTGGAGAGCTGTCTTCTGCATACGCAGAAAAGCATCTGGTACTGAGAAATGTGCGTGACTGCAGAGAGTTGGGCACTGCCTGGGTGGAAGAGGAGAGTCCATCTGCGTGGAGCAAGCAGTGTCCAGAGTAGAGGGGCTGGAGCACAGCTTGATGAACCCGAGCAGTGCACCAAATACCAACCTCAGGGTTTCTTTATAGATTGTCTTTCAAGCACACAAAGAACAGGTCTCAGGAGGGACAGAAATACAGTTTGGTATTTGAAGGAAATAAAATCCTTCACAGGCATTTCCTCAGTATCTGAACACAGAATTTGCAAGTCAGCCAGTCGCCATCCCAGTGTTGGACTGTATGCAATAACCTGCCATGGTCAACCATCTCACAGGTGGTTCACCATCATTTTCACAATCAAACATACCAGATTCAGCCCAAAGAAATATGCCATAAAGTGCAAGATTTTTTAAAACTTTGCTTTCTCCTATAGAAGCAGCAGCTAGAACTTTTTATTAGGTTGCATCCTAAGTAAGTTCAATGCAATTTATGGATTGGCTCACACCACAAAAATATTTAAACTGTTATTGATAACATATTCTCACCCTCTATATGTTGGCTTAATTTCATTTTACATCTGTGAAAGGTTGTTTATTTTTACGCAATGATTTAATGCCTAGCTTGAAAAGCATCATGTGAAAGGATTTCTGTTGTTTAAATGTGCAAAGACCTATTTTTGATAAGATAAGAAAGTTTATATTTTGTAAATATTTAAATTATGCAAGTTATGTAAAAGGTTTCCAGAACTAATGTGATAAGATTGCGGCCTTTGACATTTGTTGGTTAGATATTTGTTACTATTGTAGTAGCCTTTAATTGATTTTTATTTGCATTAGCAGGGGGAAATTAGTCAGAAAATTATGTAACTGTTCTTTTTTTACCACCAGGGTGGTTATAGCTATTGCAGGTAATACACATTGATGAGAAACACTTGCTATGATTTTCTAAATGATCAGTTAATTAATATTCTGTATATACTTTTTTTATTCTTTTAAATCCATTTTATAAACAGTGAAATCCTGGCTCCAGCAGTAAGTGCTGAACTCCCACTGACATCAAGGGAACTTGCAAGGGTTTGCAATCCTTTAACTTGGTCTACACTAACAGTCAGTTTTTAGAAACAAATCATCTTAGAGAGTTTGGTTGAGGCTTTCAAAGTTACTTTGAGGAATTCCTAGTTGTCAGTTTTCTCCCATGAAAGATGATGACCAGATTTCTTGTCACTCTTTATTGATTGGCTGTGTAGTTCAGGAAGAAGCAAACAAAATCTTCTGTATTGTGGTACTTCCCTGCCTTATGTGGAGTATCTTAGGAACATCAGTTTAGAAACCAAGAAGTCCTGTATCTGCTGTTTCATTTTGGACCTTCCCTTCACATTTGGCCAGTCTGTTTCTATTGACCTAGCCACATAATTATCCTGAGGCCACAAAATCTGCTGTCTATGGGAAGGATGCTCAGCGTGTCAGTCGCTGTCACAGGAGGATTCAACACCCTCCTTGTGAAAACTTGGATGGGGAGGACACGTCCTGGTGGAAGACTCTGAAGTGAGAGTTGTTCCCATCTTCCAGCAATGAAAGTAAACCCACAGCCTCCACAGGCTGTGCCACAGCACCTTTTGGCAACATGGATGGGACATGCTACTGGTTGCTGTTGATATGAACGTGTTGTAGAAACCACCTCTCTCTTTCATTCTGAATCTGCCCTGCCAATCAAGCTGCTGGCAGAGGTAAGTGCCTCGGTGTTCCATAGGAGACAGCTCCCAGCAGTGCCTCCACGGAGTGCAGTGTTGAGGTCATCACCGTTTTCTTGTATGAGGCTCCAGCAGGAACCAGCCACTGGGAGATCAGTGTGGAGACCAAGATCTTCTCTTGAAGCAGCCCTGATCTGTGCCTCAAAACTATTGTATCTTTTACCAGACCTAACAGTTCTTCCATGCCTGGTCTGCAAAGTAAGGAAAATCACCAATGTACTTCTTGGTATGTCTTAACTTCTGGCGAGGTAGGAAATGGGGAGAAAATGATCCTGGACTACTGGGCCTAGAGTCAGCTTCAGGGATTTGCCCAGGAGAACAATATTGCTAGGCTGTTTCTGTGAGTTTGAAGGGGAAGGGCACTCACATCAGCACAGATGTGGGGCAGTCATGGTGCAGCCAACACAGTCAGAGTGTCTCTTGCCTGCTTGGCTAGCCAGTATTTGATGCTGTGTTACTTTTGAAAGGTCATCTAGTTTAAAAACAAAACACCTTTTTGTCCTTAAATGTTTTTAATAAAATATTTTTTCTAGTTTTATGGGGAGGAAGAGTTTATTTTTTGAAAGAATGACAAAAGACAATGAAGCAAAGTGGCAACACATGGTTTATGAAAGTTACAATGAATAAGCAAACAAGACAACAGGGCTTTGAAGCTTCACTAGCAGCAGAGGGACCCATTTTGCCTCTGAGAAGCTGAGGAGACCTATTTCACAAGAGGTGGCATTATCCTTTCTGCACTAAGGGCAAAGCACTGGTGAGAGCAAGCATGTGCGGCCTGAGAGGCAGCTGCTTGCTTTCCTGCTGCACTAATGTTGGGGGCTTGGAGAGGGAAGCAGAAGCAAAGCTGAGTGCATTGAGACTGGAGCATGAGCCTCTCTCTACCTGTCACAGTTGAAATTGCTGTTTAGGTTAAGATCCATTGTAACTTGCCTAAGTTACATCCATAAAACTGGTTTATAGAATCACAGAATGGTTTGGGTTGGAAGGGACCTTAAAGATCATCCAGTCCAACCCCCTCACCATAGGCAGGGACACCTCTCACTAGGCCAGGCTGTCAAAGCCCCATCCATCCTGAATATTCCCAGGGAAGGGGAATCTACCACTTCACTGGGCAACCTGTGCCGGTGCTTCACCACCCTCACAGTAAAGAATTTCTTCCTAATAGCTAGACTAAATCTACCCTCTTCCAGTTTAAAACTTCTACCCTCTTCCAGTTTAAAACTATTACCCCTTGTCCTATCACTACACTCCCTGATAGAGTCCCTCCTCATCTTTCTTGTAGGCCGCTATAAGGTCTCCCCAAAGCTTTCTCTTTTCCAGGCTGAACAATCCCAATTCTCTCAGCCTGTCTTCATAGGAGAGATGTTCCAGAACCCTGATCATCTTTGTGCCCTTCCTCTGGACTTACTTCAACAGGTCCATGTCCTCTGGATGTTGAGGGCCCCAGAACTGGATGCAGTCAGTACTCCAGATGGGATCTCACCAGAGCAGAGGGGCAGAATCACCTCCCTTGATCTGCTGATCACACTTCTTTTGATGCAGCCCAGGAGATGGTTGGCTTTCTGGGCTACATCTGTAAAAGCAATTCTGGATGGGATCAAGATATGAACATTGTTTTGTAGCAATTGGCTAAAGAAATCAGCTGCCATCTATTGCAGTATTTATTCCATAAAACTGCCTTTACTCCTTCCACTCTGGAAAAGCTCTCCTTGGGTGAGAGCGAGAGGGAAAACCATCTGTAAGACAGCATGCCTCTTCTTTCAAAGAGAAGCCTACGTGCGACATATGTGAGTCAACTACTTCTGTGGACATATGGCACTAGGATGAATTGAATTCACTCAGTTTAATAGGGAAGGTTTTTTTCCCAGTGTTGGGACTGGAGGATCAAGGTTGTTGACTTTGAAAACACAGCCTTATAATACTCCTCTATCGTTCTACAATAACAGGTATCTTCTGTTTGAAAGTAACTACGTGTGCACTTATCTGAGCTAGTGAGATTAGGAAAAAGAAATTGGAAAGAAATTTACAGTCTGAGTTTTTATCTCAGTCATGTTCCTTCACACTGCCTTTTTATGCATGGAGCAGCAGTTTGTGAAAAGTAGCAAACCTATGAAACATGCAACAAGTTTACTTTTTGAAGAAAGGATAATTGTAGCCTCTTCTGGAAGTGAAAATTATGTATGCTATTTTGGAAACAGAAATGCATGTGCATTGCCTGCATATTTTAAGAGCAAAGTTGTGCTGCTGACTGAAGTGCTGCCATACTCCGAGGAGTTACTGCAGGAGTGCAGCTGGTCAGGCTGTCACCATGCCAGCTGAAGAACATAGACCATCTTCACCTGTTGGAGATGCCTTGACACAGGATGTGTGGTAAATGGATATTTCTCTCCATTGCTATCAAAATGTCTCTGTGCTGGGTAGCACTTTTCAGTGAATGACAAGTATGTGAAATGTATTTGTAAAGTAAACAGGACCAATTAGCACTGGTCATTCAGAGAAAATTATGCTAAAAGGACATCCACTTTGGCCGAGGTTTCTGATGGGGCTGAGATGCTTGATTTTGTTGACGGATGAGGTTTCACAAGATAGTAAACTTGGCTTTAGGGTGGTTCAACTGTCATGGCTAGGTCATGTAAAGTGCTGAACCCATACCGACTCACTCTGCTGGCTAAAATTTATTAAAAACATGTAAAAGGATCATCCTACTGTGGCAGAGTTCATGTCAAATGAGGCACTG